TGAGCGGTTTTGATTTTGATTTTGATTTATTTTGAATTGTGTGACACGGAAAACCAGCAATACTGTACTCCTTAACTGTCTGCTTCACAGTATTATATTTTAATTTGGATTAACGGATTTTAAAACAAAAACTAGTTGAAACTCTACTATCACAAGAACATAACTTAACACTGTTGCTATTTAACAAGATATGTTTGTATTAATAAATGAGAAATCTACATTAGAAACATAGAATGTGACAAATGAACTCTACGCGCGTGTAATGTGTGTTTGGTCAACTGTGAAGCGTTTCAAATTTACATGATTCTCCAATATTTTTAACTCATTAATTAGGAGTAAAATGCTAACAGATCTACTTTCAAGCCACGGCTAAATGTAAACACGCCGATACTTTAGAGATGGTGGCTGCTTCAAAAAGAACAAGGCAGATCATTTAGCGACAATGAACTCTGTAATTCGATGCTGATTTCTGAAAAGCCCGCCATAAATTATATTCTCATGTGACATTGCTTACACAGTCATTTACCTGAATAACATGTTGTATGCAGCACTACAGCAAACCCGATATAAAGCCCTGTGAGCTTCATTTGGGAATATTTCTTCCTCAGCAGCCGTAAAGTCGGAAGATTTCGTAAGTTCACTTCAAATCTAGTAATGCCCGCTCGTTGAATACTGATGTGACGCTCGCAATGTTGCCCGAAATAGTACGACCGTTGTAATTACAAACGGAATCAATTCTTTTGAAATGATGATCTAAATGTAAATATGCCGTTGTGCAGATAATTTAACAGCCAGGGAGGGAAGGGTCGGGTGACTAGGGACGCTCAAACGAGAGAGAAGTCGTTGGGTTTGGTAATAACGGGACGTTTAATGGTCTTTAATGGCATTCGATTGTTCAAGTTGTTGTGCTGTTCTTTTCTTTGTTTGTTTCCTTTCTGGGCTTCTTCAGGCAAGTTTATATTTCCTCTTCCTTTCTTGTATGAATCCTTATTGTATTCACTATTTGACTTTTCCCTTAGTTTCCCTAGCTTTTCAATTTTAGCCGGTTAATGTTGAATATATGTATATACTGCTCCTCCCAGTTTCCGACTACTGCCGAGCACTGTTTCGTTGTCTGAACTGTGCGCAACGATTTGATTACCGCGCGCTCGGCAGTAGTCGGAAGCTGGGAGGAGCCGCCGAACATTCGATTGACGGTAGCGAAAAACGCATTTGTCGGTTGAGCTTTGAGTTTTAGCGGTCCGCATGTTATTGAAAGGCGCAGTACAAACGTTCTGCAAAGCCTGAACTGAAAGAGGTATTTTAGCAATACACATACAACATAACAGTAAAGTTTTATTTACAAGAAAAGTTATGTAGTAGTTAACAGTATTTTTTCTTCGAACAACTTTAGTTTAAGTATTACAATTTGACAATGCTGTTAACGCAAAGATAGGAACAGAAAACGGCAAGCAGTTACAATTCACAACGATATAAAAGTGACTGAAATAAAATGAGTTCATTTTTAATCAAAATCATGGCTGCGTCCCAACTGTCTGTCACTGGATTGATTCAAACGTCAACGCTGATATCGGTTCATTCATGAACAAAAGTCACGCATGCATTCAAATGCACGCACTTTGCATGACTGTCTCCGTTTGACTCGCTGCTAGGTAAATTGAAAAAAATAACATGCAAGATATATATCAAAATAGCAAAAAAAAAAATGCCTGGAACAGGAAAGTGCAAAATTGCTTTAAAAAAAAAGTCTAATGTCGTAAATTGCAAAATACCTAGAAATGCCAAAACCTAGCTGCTAAAATTGCTAAAAACCTAGCCAAATGCAAAAACCTAGCGGCTAAAACTGCCAAAATTGCTAAAAACCTAGTTGCTAAAACTGTGAAAATTCCTAAAAACCTAGCAATGGAAAAACCTAGCTGCTAAAACTGCCAAAATTGCCAAAAACCTAGCCGAATGCAAAAAACCCTAGCAAGCTGCCAAGGTTGCTAAAAACCTAGAAATGTAAAAATTTAGCTGGCAGAATGAAAAGCAAAAAGAAAGCAAAAAAAAACAACAAAAAACAGCAGAGCGAGAGAGAGAGAAAAGAGAAGCTAAGAAATTTACATAGCAACAAGACAAACGAATCAAGTCACGCGAAGTGGTAACATGAACGCTTGCGTGACTTTACTTCAAGAATGATCCTATATCGGCGCATCTGATTGGATAAAAAGGTAACCAACAGGTTGAAACACGTGCAGTATGACGTCACATTAGATCTTGCTACACTACCTCACCGACAGGAGGGATACAATCCATTGCAATGGTCGCTTTTTTTGTTACAGTGCTATTACACTGTTATCAAGACTAACTTTGGAAAAAAGAGTTTTGGTAAAAACGTAAAAAAAACTGCGAAAGTAAAATATTGTTCCTGGATTAGTTGTAGCTTCATGTTATAAACAGTTGGCCTTTTCTAAAAAGCTCCTATAAAAACTGCAATAAATCTGAAATTTGAAGTGTTTTAAGTTGCGTATTATTTTACAGCGTATTTCATTTTGAACCATTTTGTTTTCAAAAAGAATATCTCAAATATTTACAAAGAAACTGATAAGCGATCAGCGATTTCTTAAATAACAAGAGAACAGTTGGCTTTTTCTAAAAAAGCTCCTTTACAAACTGCAATAAATCTGAAATTTTGAAGTGGTTTAAGTTACGTACTATTTTACAGCGTATTTCATGTTGAACCATTTTGTTTTCAAAAAGAATATCTCAAATATTTACAATGAAACTGATAAGCCGATTTCCTCAATAACGAGAGAACTGGACCTAAAATCAAAAGAGAAGGAATACATAAGTTTAGCAAGACAGTATTGACTCATTTTTGATAAAAAAAAAACCTTTAAAGTTTTACTTAATAATTATTTTAGCTACAGTTTGAGCCATATTGTGAATAAACTGCAGAGTTACTGGGCTTACAACTCAAAACACTTCGAGTTGAAATCCGCGAAGGAAAGTATCTTTTTTAAAACCCATCAGGAAAAACATTAATTGAATGCCGTAAAAAAAAGTTCCTCAACATTTCTAGCAAGATATAAACCGCGTACCTATCTCACTACCAGTCTCCCGTCACAAGCTCAGTGCTAAGAGCATCCGGCCGATGGGTGGAAAGGTATGGGTTCGAATTTTATGTCCCTATCGATATCTCTCACCTTAAAACTTGAATCCAGTTGGACAATTATTCACTTCATTTTTTCTTGCAAGGGAAACAAGGGCATCAATAAGTTTTTGTTCACAGGCCTTGTGCTGATCTGTTTTACGCCAGCCTGCAAAGAAACAACAAAACATCGTTAACCTATTACGACTAATTCTCCTTAAAATCTATCAATGTTGATTGTCCTGAGTGACAACAAGATTAGAAATAAAAATAGTTTAGTGAATAGTCATGTGTTACCTTCAAGTTCAAACAGGAACATGAGTTCCTGCCTGATCCCAGTAATACATTCTTGTAAATTCTCTTCTCTGCTTCTAAAATCAAAGTTAAAACCTTTTACTATGAAAACAAAAAAACTATAGATAGCCCACCATCTATTTTACCACCAAAGAGATCTGTAATCTATCCAAGATTTGCTAGGAAGGAATATAAATTAAATAAAAACAGAATTATAAAACAAAGAATATTTTTTACGTACATCATTTCAAGATCTCGTTTCCTTCTGATAAGTTCAGCCCTGCATTTGTTGACCCAGATCCAGTCTTGAGTTAGGCCCTCGAGTTCATCTTCACATCCTGGAAAAAAAATCAATTAGGAAAAAGTCTTCACAAGCCAAATGGCAACCACTGGAAGAACTTGTGAAGGTTTCTGTAGCATGAAGAGATTTGCTACTCCCCCTGAATGGGATATTGGTCTACTCATCCATACATCTGAATAGAGACAGACACTAGGAGTTAAGATACTAACCTTTGGTTTTATTTGCCCCCTGGATTTCCTTTTCGAGTTTGGTGCTGACTTTCTCCAAAGAAGTTATCTCGTGTTGGAGGAGAAAAGTCTCTTCTCGTATATACAAAGAGAGTTCTGGGCAATGCTGACTGATCGGTGAAACAGTCTGAAATGCAAAGAATGAAAAGAAATGCTTGCAGCAAATTTTCAGGGGAGGAGCTTATTATCTGGGGGAGGGCTTATAACGGGGAAAAAATTGAGTTACTTTCCAACATTTTTGTCATTCAATTGGAAGTAATATATGTTCTGCATGAAAAACTGTAGGTAAATCCAGATACAGGATATCTTGGACTCAAACCGCAGCTGCAAAGTAAGTTACGCCTAGCATGCCATGACGTACAAACGTTACATAATGGTGGGTTTAAAATCGAAAGAAGGTGATCTTTCTTTTCAGTTAATTCTAAATATACAACTATCGAATTTTTTCGGGGGAAGGAAAAAAAGTGATTTTGATTCAGACGGAAGTTCGTGTAACTCTTTAAATACCTCGTGCTCATGCTGGTTCTTTTGGATGGGATTTGAAGACTCGACGTCTTTCACTACAATGCCTTCTTCAGGTACAGCACTATGAACTACAGTCAGAGAACCAGCCGCCTCGCTGGGTGTTAACGCCTCAGGGTCAGAAGTATCAGGAGTACTTTCCTCTTGGTTGAGAGGTACTTCCTTTTTAGAGGGAGAAGCCTCCGCGGATGGAATGGAGCTGGCCTCAACATTGGAGAGGCCATCACTAAGAGAAGGTGCCTGTCCAGGAGTGCTGCAATGACCATCATCTCCCTCCTGTTGTTTTGACGATTCCTCCAGATCAACTGGACCATAAGACTTTGTCCTCTTGAGAACGGCCTCGTCCTGAACGTGTTGTTTTTGCGACATGACAGTGCCTACTCGCAAGTCACCACCATTGTTGACAGAAATTCTGACACCAGAAGCGCAGATGCCGCTATGGTATCCCTCCTTTGGCTTTGACGATTCCTTGCCCTTGGTTCTTTTCAGCATTTTACGAGCAAAAGGGACATGACGCTTTGCTTTCTTTAGGACAGGCTCATTCTGAACAAGTGGCTTCTTCAATGGGACAGTGGTGCCTCGGTCGTCATCTCTGCTATCATTCTTTGAGATGTTGGGGTCGCCGTTTTTCGTCAAGTTATTGTTTCGATCAGCCTCATCAAGATTCTTGTTCATACATTCTCCATCACTCAACTTAGCATCTTTCACAGTTGTCTCCTTGCTGAGATCGGATGCATTCTCCGATGACAAAGAACTCTCCATGTCATCGGGCTCTTTTTCACCGACAGCATCAAACTCCTTGGGATACTTAGCAGCTTCCTCATAATTATTTGATACCCTCTCCTCAGTTTGGCTCAATGAGCTTTTCACTTCTTTGACCTCACAGTTTGGTTGACTTGCTGGAGGGAGCTGAGATGGGTGTGGTTCTGGTGGAGCAGACTGAGATGCAGCATGAAGAGGTTGAGGGTGGAATGGGGCTTTGCTATCAACCTTCCTCTGTCCTGTAATGTTGCTGTGGCTACAAGAGGCAGCCTCTTGAGAATCACATGCTGCAGTGTCTGACACTGGAGCTTTGTGTCCAGATGTCTTCTCTGAGCTGCTCTTAGAACCTTGACCGTGCCTTTTCCTCGCCTTCTGTATTGATTTCTTCTTCTCTAGCTCTGCTATAGCATCATTCATGATCTCATCAAAGATTTCCTTATCAGTGCGACTGCAATAAACACAAAGGAGAAGAGTGATCGAGTGAGTGATTGGGTAAGCATGTAGTTAATTTTTTAGGTGTGAGGTCCTTGATAAGTGAATTTAAAAGAAACAAAATCCATTAGACGAATTAAGGGACAGGCTGACTGACGGATGATTGGCTGGAAAGATAGACAGGATATCTTAAGGTAGATGCCCAGGGGGGTACCCCCTGAAAAATTGGGTGGGGTGTGTGGCCCGCATCCCAAAACCCTTTCCCTATTTATGACCAAAAATCGCGATTTTCCCTGCCCTACATATATTGATAGCAATGAAAAAGTTCTAAAACACACACCCAAATTCAAGACTAGAGTGCAAAAACCATACTCTATTTTTAAAAGACCAAAACGGCCAAAATCGATACCCTATTTATGACCAAAACAGCTGAAAAACCTATCATACCCTCCGGGGCCACACATACCTA